AATTATAGTGAATGGTACATGACTATATGCTCTAAAGAACTTTGCATACGACTATACCTCAGTGGCAAAACATCTTTATATGAAAAAGGCTCTAGGTTCCTTGCAGTGCAAAGCTGTGCATCCCTTTTTAGAGGTCCTGCTGCATTCAGTCTGGCTTTCTTCCAAGGGAAGATATATAGAATTTCAATTGTGTATACACTCTTAGCTCACGGATTTCAATTAGTTCTTTTCAGCATGTGGTTCCAAATTCCATTCACAACTAAAACGAACCTCTTCAATATGTTTGCAACTACCGTAGCAATAAAATGGAATAACAAATATAATATTGTAGTGGAAAAATGGAACACTGCCATTTATTGATCCATGAAGTTTCATGTAATAGTATTTATAAATAATCTGGTATGAGGCACTTCATTCAATAAAGGTACCTTATGTGATGAACCTGCAGCAACTCTGCAAGGCTTTAAGAGAATGTCTAAAAATAAATAAGTTAATGTTCAAGTTTTCTTTAAAAGAGCTTTTTTTAATTTACAGGCAACAGTAATAATGATATTAATAGCACGTTGGATGCAGAGTAATTTAATCTTCATTTAATACCAATTAACACAAGGATACATGTTTCAGCCTTCTTCTATCTCTGTAAAATTTAAGATCCTTTTATTTCAATGGAATATCTTATCCATTGAATATCCATTGAATACCAGATAAATAGATAGATAATCTTTTACCTGAGAGCCAGTCTGGAGTAGTGATTAAGAGTTAAGGTTGCAGAAAACCAAGAAATCATTAGTTCTGCTTAAGCCTGGATTTTTCATCATTTCACATCAGGGAATGTATGTGTCTGTCATTCAGAGATAGTTGCATAGCTGCTCCATTTATACATCTGCAAATGTTCATTCTGGTTAGGGAATGCTCAAACAGCAAAGCACAGAATAGGTAGTCACATCAACCAATCACCATGCAAGATCCACACCTCCGCACAATACACAGTTGGGATTTGGGAGACATGCCCATTGGCCTCTCTGCAGCTATCAACTCTTCACAGCCTAGGTATATGGCGACGTTAATACGCAGTTGTGGATAACTCTAGTGGTGAAATCCAAATTTTTTTACTCCCGGTTCTGTGGGCGTGGCTTGGTGGGCGTGATGTGGCTTGGTGGGCATGGCAGGGGAAGGATACTGCAAAATCTCCTTTCCCACCTCACTCCAGGGGAAGGATACTGCAAAAATCCCCTTTCCCTCCCCACTCCTGGGGGAAGGATATTGCAAAAACTCCATTCCCACCCGACTCTGGGGCCAGGCAGAGGTGGTATTTGCCGGTTCTCCGAACTTCTCAAAATTTCCACTACCGGTTCTCCAAACTGCTCAAAATTTCTGCTACCGGTTCTCCAGAACCTGCTGGATTTTACCCCTGGGTAACTCTAAATCAAGCTTTAGACCAGACCAGTCACTCTGTCTTAACTCCAGGAAGAAAGAAAAGGCAAATCACTTTCAAATTCTTGCCAAGAAAATTACAGAGACCTGTTCAGGCAGTTGCCAGGAATCACGACTGACTCAAAGGCATGTGCATGCGCTCACACACACAAACACAAAACCTAAGAATTATTAGTTGAAACACATGTCATACCATGAGCATTAAAAAAAGTAAGCCATCATGCTGTTTTCATTTTTTTCATTTTGCTTTGTTTTCCTCCTATTTTCTCTGAAATGTTTTTCAGGGGCTCATTCATTCATTTTATGGAAATTGTTGCATCAAACCATACAAATGGTTTGAATACCATTTGTAAGTCTGTTTTTATGTCCTCGAATGCTCTCTCTGTCTATCATAACCTTTGTTAAACTGGCCTTCAGCTGTGGTATATTAAGATCACTCCCAGGAGCCATGTTGACGGGATATGGTAGCTGTAGTCTTGGACTGCACCAAATTGGAGAAGGCCATTTTGTTCTTTCTGGAAAGCCATTCAGCTCCTAGGTGAACCGATATTTTAGAATGACCTATCATCACTTACCCAAGCCTTAGTTATATCCATATCCGATTTTTGCAGAAATCTTTGCTCTTTGAAAAACATAAATAATCCCAGTTAGAGTAAAATGAAATAATTTGCTATGTTCCAATAGGAATACAGTCTCATGATCACATCATTCCTATTTTAAGGAATGTACTGCTTGCCTGTTGTTTTCCTGGTTCAGTTCAAGATTTTAATCTTTAAACCCCTTTAAATGGTTTAGGGGTCTGGTTATCTGATAAAATTTGTAAAAGGGAAACTTTTAATGTCTTCATCCACAGAAGCCCAGAAAAGCTTTTCTCCTAGAATCTAAACAGATTGCTTTGGGAATTAACAAATGGTAACTCTTTTTCTCTGATTTAGGGCATCAAGATAGAACTTTTTAGAGTATTGATGGCTGCAGTTGGTATGTAGGATTAGGATAATGATGCAAAGTGGATAGGTCCTGGATTTCCTGGATTTTTTTTCTTGGATCCTGGAGGAAATTTGTAGATTTCATTTGCTTTTTAAATGGTGTTAGGTCCATTGCAGAGCTCACCTGCTACTTCCTTTTAGAACATTTATGACTCTATGTCTGTAACCTTGTTGCTGGTATCCTTAAGATTTATATTGACTGTTTCCCTATGACTATCACTAAGTGTTGTACCTTATGATTCTTGACGAATGTATCTTTTCTTTTATGTACTCTGAGAGCGTATGCACCAAGACAAATTCCTTGTGTGTCCAATCACACTTGGCCAATAAAGAATTCTATTCTATAAGCATCCAATGGCAGATGTTTGGATCATCACTTTTTAGCCTTAGTAATCAGATGTGGTTTGGGGACAAGAAGGAATTCAGGGGCTACTTAGAGCCCTGAGACTTCTGTTGTACACTTCTGTTGTACATAGTCTAGGCTCCTCATTTCTTCATTTAAGTGTGGTAGCATTTAAACAAAAGTATAGCAGTGGATTTTGGTTAAAACCATATTACAAAAAAAACTAATGAATGTACACCAAACATCACTGTAGAACAAAAGCTTATCTGCATGGATCCAGTTTTCATCTTTTTCTCCTAATATTTAAAGCAATTAAGAATTCAGTCATTCTTCCTATTTATGTTTATATCCCACATTTTGTAACTGCATATAACCTGGCACCCCAGACAACACACTCACTGTGCTTCCCTGTCATCAGATATATATCTTTTGAGCTCCATGCTTCAGATGAAAACATGGAATGCAAAAAAGCTTATGGACTAAATTAAAAAGAAAATAAAACCAAGGATATACATATCAAAAGCAAAGCTCTGAACATTTAATATTTAGCTTCTGCCCTACTGTGGTATTTTGCATCTCAGTGTTACGGATGTGCCCCCAGAGATCAAAGTATCATGCTGTAGAGATCCCACTTCATTTAGCAAGAGAGTCATGTGCCAGCCATCTGTTATAGCTGCTGACAGAAAACAGCAGCAAATTTCTCAAACTTTTGCCAGAAAAAAGGCTTTATTGCTCAGCAAAGATGAATTACAAGGTAGCTTGTAAACCATTTCTGGACTGCAGTCATTTACATGGTATATACTACACTACAAAATTATGTTTTTCCCCATTCTTTCCACAGATGCATAACATATGGTAAATAGAGTTTTCAGTGGAATTTATTATTTTCTATAAAAGCTTTTCAAAAACAAAACATCCCTTTTGCACACTGAAACAGTGAATTGCTATTCTGTTTTGGGCAAAATTTGAATTTCAAAGCTTGCAGCTATCTACTGGGTAAGATAGGAATAGCATAACTGAGTCACAGTAGCCACACTTTTAAGTTGTGATACTACCTTGGAAGTCTGTGTCTCGTAAAAGTTTGCCTACCAGTGATCAATCATCTCCTTCAAATACTGACTATTAACTAGGAAAACCAGTCTGGTGTAGTGTTTAAGGTACCAGGCTAGAAACCAGGAGATTGTGAGTTTTAAACTGGCTTTAGGCATGAAAACCAGGTGGGTGACTTTGGGCCGGTCTCTCCCTCTTAGCCTGTCTCACCTCATAGGATTGATGTGGGGAAAATAGGAAGAGGAAGGAGTGTTAGGTAGGTTCGCCATCAATAAAAGTGGGATATTAATTAATTAATTACATCAACAGCACAATTGCATTAGCATAGGCTGTTCTCAAATCCACCCAAAAGTGACTTCAGTCAATTTACCTATATTTAAATATGGATACAAATCTCAGGCTGCTGGACCTATATGGTCCTTAAAAACTTTGGATGCAGCCTTCGTGAATCCTAAATGAAGTGATAATATTGAATAGAACAGGATAGATTGTTAAATATTAAAGCAGTCATATTATCTATATTTAATTTGAATTAAATATACACATCAATGAAATGAAATCATATTTAGCTTTTCTTTTGGTTCCATTCCCTAAGGAATATGTGGTCTCCAATATGCCATCTAAAGGTCAAGCATTATTCTTAGTTTTGAACAGTAGTCCCAGAGTACTCTTGGTACTCTGGGACTACTGTTCAAAATTAAGAATAATCTTAGAGTAGAGCCTAAGAAAGAGCTGCATGCAGCCTCCTATCCTATTTGTGCTGCCCTCAGAACTCCCCAAGACTGTGCCACAAAAATTAAACAGCAAGATGACCTTAGGTTGGACAATATTTTGTCTTTCAAAACAGTTATTTAAGGCTTTAAAAGAAATGTACTTAAGTATTGGCCCTGGCTCAAAATACTCATTTTGAGGGACTGCCCTTTACTGTTTCTATTTGGAACTGAGTTTCATTAGAGAGACACATACAGAGAAAGTACACTGAATACCTTTGCGTATCATAAGACTTGATTGATTCATATTTCATCTGGCAGATAATTCAAAGTTTAATTTTGTATTGCCTTTTTGATGTAATTCTAAAATACTTTCTATTACAAAAATTGATCCAGTTCAAAATATTTCTCTTCTCCCCTCTCTGTCACCTCCACCCCAACAGTGCCAAGTTATACCAATCTATGCCTTCTACCTACCTTTCCTGTTGCTTGCCAGGTGAAATTCATAGACTGAATGTTGACAGGGATAGCTGGCATTCTTTGTTGAGCTTTTCTGAAATCATGAGTAAATGGGGCCATCTTCTCTTCTGAAACAATCAGAATATCCTCTTCAAAGCCTGTAAAATAAAACCAATTAATTTGAAACAGGCAGCAAATTAAATACTAACATGGGATGAAAAGCAAGCATTCAGTCTGAAGGGTTTTTATAGGAAAATGTGCAAGCTCTGCCAGAGAGTTACTCTGTCACAATTATGACAGAAATACATATGTACTGAGAGACATGCCTATTCAGTCACTTATGGCGATAAAGAATGTATAACATATAAAAAAGGATCACCATCATGCATTATGTATGTTTTTTGGGTTTAACTCTATAATGTCTAGAAATAGTTGTTCCGCGTCATTCCTCCAGGTTACTCATAGAGTAGAAATTTAAACATTTAAAAAATTCTGTATAAAAATCTCTTGATTGACCAATTATGTTTAATCAAGTTATTTTTGACTCTTAGCAATCACATTGATAAGAAGTCAGTACCCTTCCACAAAACCTTGTAGAAAAGAACTGCTAATCTAGTCATGTTTACAGTTGCCATTCTGAATGCAACACATGAAAGTAAGTTTTCTCTGTTCAGTGCTAGAATTACAAGGGTGAGGGGAAAGGCGCTCTCTTTCAGTCTTTGCAATAGTCTCCGTAACTACTTTTTCAGGAATTTTGTCTAGGGGAAGCCAAATACCCCGAGACTTTTCATTTTCTTTCATAATTGCCTTGTATATATACCCATGTGGAGGCCAGAGGAAAGAACCGGCAGACCAAAGGTTTAATCCATCATTTGGTAGGTCTGCATCTTTCCGTTATTTTTTTCTTAATAGCTATCCACGGGCTTACACCAAAGATACGTCAGGCAATCCATAACCATTCTCGATGACCAATAGCCATTGGTAGCCTTATCCTTTATGAAACTTCTTGCCTACTTGTCCAAACTGGCAGCCATAAGCATATCTAGTGACAATGGATTCTAAAATTCTACTCTAGCGCTGTATCTACCATGGCTTAAGAATTGTGGAGAATCCACGCGCCGATGGGGATGGGGAAAGGTAAAAACCCGGTGCCCTTCCCACGTTTGAGAACAAATCTCATATTTCCCACCCAACAGCCTGGCACTAGATGACTAGGAACGGAGCTGCGATATACCGGTATGTCCGGACACAGACCCAGATTAGAGAAGTCTGAGCGAGGGCGCGCGCAGACGGCGGGCAAAAAGAGGAAAGAGATCCTTTGGCGCGCCCTCCTTTGCCCGACCTAGCGCGAGCCCCTGCCTCACCTACCGATCAGCACGCGGGCTTGGTGAGCGTCAATCCACATGTAGAGGGTGTCTTCCTGGCGCTGTGCGCCGCGCAAAAGCGGCAGGCTGGCGAGGCACAGGGTGCCGCAAAGCCAGAGCGCCGCTGAACAGAAGGCGCTGATTCCGTGCCGCGCCATGCCGCGCTTGACTTATCTGTTCCACAGGGGGGGACGGGAGACGCAAGAAAGGACGCCCTTCCTCGAGGGAGCGCCTTCACGCCTGCCGCTGCTTCCGCTCGCCCTTCTCCTCCGTCCCGAGCGGCGTCTCACTTCTGCACGGCGGGGGCGGGCTGCCGGCGGCTGTTGTCTTGTTATGCGCCGGCTGAAGGTGGGCTTGCCTTTTGGCAGCCGCAGCGGTTGTGAGAGCGGGGCTAGGAGTAGGGAACGTGTGTTTCGGAGAAGTAGGGGAGCGAACGCGCCGAGCCAGTCCCGCTAGGCGGCAGCAGTGACGGTCTGCCAAGAAGCGGCCCTTGGAGAAGTTTGAGGAGAACGCGGCCTATCAGCACCGAGGAGGTGGAGGAATCGCGGTGGGAGGAGGGGGGAAATTTACAGACCTCGGGCTGGGTAACTGGTTTCTATTTTTGCAATAGCTTTATCCTACCGTGCATCCCCTCTACATTCTTATGATTGCGGTTGTACTAATTCTTATTTCGCCATTTATAATGTGCAGCTTTTTTCTTTCTTGTTTCTCATTGTGGAAACGTAAGGCAAGAAATGTATATTTTTAAAATCAAAATGATGCCACAAACAGTGGGATGTAAAAAAAAAATAGAACAGTGTACAGTAGGAGCTGCTGATACAGTTCTACAGAGGAATTATTGAATCTGTCATCTGCACCTCCATAACTGTGTACTTTGGCTCTGCAACCAATCAAGACAGACAAAGACTTCAAGGGATAATTACAACTGCAGAAAAAACAATTGCTACCAATCTGCCTTGAGGACCTGTATACTGCATGAGCCAGAAAGAGGGCTGTGAAAATATCTAGACCTCTTGCATCCTGGACATAAAGTTTCAACTTCTACCCTCAAAACGATGTTATATGGCAGGGGTCTCCAACCTTGGCAACTTTAAGCCTGGCGGACTTCAACTCCTAGAATTCCCCAGCCAGCTTTGCACTGTAGCTTTGCTATACAGCTTTGCTATAGGGCACTGTACCTCAGAACAACTAGACACAAGAAGAGTTTCCCTCCCCATGCCATCACTCTGCTAAACAACTAATTCCCACAACACTGTCAAACTATCTAAAACGGCAATATTACCATCATTATTTTCATCTTCCCTATTCCCTCTCTTTTTTCTTATGACTATAACTTTGTTGTTTATCACTATTGTTGTATGTACATTGAGAGCTTATGCGCCGGAAACAAATTCCTTGTGTGTCTAATCACACTTGGCCAATAAATAATTCTATTCTATTCTATTCTGTTCTGTTCTATTCTGTAGTTAAGGACAGTTAGTACTTTTCTATCCTTTGCTGAAGTCTAAATGAAACAAAAACTGCTTATACAGCCAAACTCACTAGTCATATAGGACCTGCAAATATTGATGAAAACATCCCTGAAAACAGACAAAAAGTTCTTTCTGTAAACAGCCTAGAATGCCACTTCCCTACAAAGGAAGAAAAAGGTGCTGATGAGCTGACAGGTCAATCAGCTTACTTATCTTGTTTTATTTTATTTACTTCTCTATCTGTTAAAAAATAAAAAATAAGAGAGTATTGATGCAGAAAAACCAGGGCATTTTACAAAACTACCCACCCAGGTTACTCAAATCTTTTGCAATTCAAAAGAATTGAGAAGACCACAGTGTTCTATGTTATTTATTGGCAAATAGTTTTTCATTCTTATTCATTCATGTCTTCTTTCTCTCTAATCTTTGCATTTGAGACATTGTGAAGCAGATGGTTCCAGCAGCTGGGGTTTTTTTTGTTTGTTTATTTGTGGTTGTTTAAATTTTAAGCACAAAATGTCCTTAAAATTCAAGCAAAGCAGATATATGTGTAATATACATACAATGTACATATTTTACATGCTTTATTTATATTTAACACAAAGCAGGAAAGCAAGAAAATGAAACATACAAGAAATTATCCAAGTATTCTTTTGAATATTGTTGGGCTTTTGCTTAAATTAATTGTGTGACTCAAGTGTCTTTCAAGTCAGCAGTTGTGCTTTCATATGACTTTTATTGCACAATCAACTTGTATTATTCACAAGATGTTATAATGGCATTAGATTACATAAATAATGTGAAATCTTTCTGTATTTTTCCCATATTCCTGCCGTCCCTCTAAGAGCTATTCCCCACAGTTGACTAGGGGATGGCTTTATTATATGGTAATTTGACAATATGTTCATTGAACATGAAAGTAAGTCAAGTTTGCCTTCAATATTATAAGCAGTCATGCCTTCAAGTAAATTTTACACACAAACTTGCTATTAAAGCAGTGAGGCCCTCTGCTGGCTGATCTTCCTAAGAGCAAATTGTTAAGAAATTTTTACAGTTTTACAAATAACTTGATTTGCACATCCCAATAAAACTAACCAATACCATAATTAGATTATGTAAATAGGTAGATTTCACCATAATCTTATCCTCCTCCCTTTAAATTGTTTACACTAATTTTCATAAGTGCATTTTTTGTTTTAATCTTAATTCTACTTTAGACAGAAAACCCTTTAGCTGAAAATTATTTTGGCATTGAATAGTATATGCATGAATTCTAGAGCAAAATGTTATTTTGGTCAGGGTAATTATTCAGAAAACATCCCTTTCCAAATTTCATGACCTCAATAAATATTAGGAACAATGCAGGTACAAAACATATTTTGATGTTTCAGCAACTTCTATTAACCAAAACCAATTACTCTTAATAAATATCATAGGATTTTTTAGCTTTAAAACAAAAGATGCTATCTGTAAGAAAAAATAGTATGTGAAAAATTATTAAAGAAAAAATGTATCTGCACAGTACCTACAATTAAGGTGTTAAAAATATCACCTTATATAATACTTCCAACAGATTTTATGAAATGAGCAGCATTCTTCTTTAACCAAAATTTGTTTCACAATTTTATAAAAAAAAACAGTATTTTTGAATAAGTACATAAAACCTATTCTCAATTTTAACCAAGATATTATAAAGGATACATTGACAATTTTACAAATTAAAATTTGTTATTTGATTATTTTGTTTTCATATACTTATACAAGGCACAATTAAACATGTAAGATTTATATTGTGATACAGTATTTGTCTGTAAAGAAATAGGAGCCACCCAGAGTTGTGTTTTGTACAAGATGGCTGGCCATATCTTTTAAATGAATGAACAAATAAATAAATAAGTAAAGACAGAGGCTGTCTATCTTGACATCAGTGGGACTAATGCTGGGGTAAATGTATATAGAAAGAGATAATTGTTGAGAGAATTTACAATATTTTTAAACTCATAATTAATTCTAATATAATAATAATTTATTAAACTTATATGCCACCTGATTCTCAAAACCTCTGGATGACTCACAACAATCAAAGAAATTACAATAGTATCAATAAAACATAAAAGATATAGATGATAAAAAATGTTAAATGTAACTGATAGATGAATATTGCGAAGGAGGCAGATATTATGGGAGACAGGCAATCCCACAAGTAACTGGGCCTTATGCTATGTAGGGTTTTATAATGTAGAAAGAGGCCCCTTCCCAGAATAAAATATTCCACATAATAAGAAAAGAAGCAGAATAGAATATTTCCCCTAAAGGAAAAGAGGAGAAAAATCTCCTTAACAAAGGCAGACACAACCAAGCAGAAAAAGAGGTGTTCAATCTAAAAGTAACCCAGCAACCTGAATTCACAACAAATTAGGACCTAAGTTCTTTGAACTATATCAAAGGTAGTGTTTACAGTAAACAGTACCTTTAGAAGGAAATTTCATCTCCTGGAGGCACTTTTCAGCAAATTCATATATTTAGCTATGAATCAATGATAACAAAGTACATATGCATTGATCAGTCCACTGACACATATTGTCACAGTATTTCTCAAATGCTGAACCTGAAGATTCATCTATACCAATTTCTCTTAAATTAGGACCTGAAAGTAGATTCCTCATCTTCAAATTTAAATGTTTCATGAAGCACGCAGCCCCCTCAAATTATAGTTGAGAGGCTGAGCAGCCTACATGGAATTTTTCAGTGACTCACTCATAAATACCAAGTAAATCCAAGAGCTCAGAGTATCTCCTATCAAAGTGTAACCCGCACCTGTTCGGTTTAGGAACAATTTTTATATAGTAGTTAGTCTTTTGTTTAGGACATAATATTGTGCATATTTATGCAAATTTCAAAGTGATTTATGCTGTGACAGGATCTATTCTAATTGTTTAGGCTTGTAGCTTTAATATTTTGCTTGCTAATATTATGAATGAGTAGTTATAAGCTATTATTTTTATTCCTAGTATAATTGGCAATTTGAAATGGCTCTTGGTGTATAAAAAAACTACAAAATGTCTTAGTTTTCCAAGGTGACTGTGAGAGATAAGGTTTTAAAATGCCTAGGTTTTAAAATAGACAATTTCTGATATTAATAACAGCTGAGAATGTTTAGAAAATGTACTTGCAATATGAGCAGAATAATCCATTTCTGTATGTAATAAAGTACTGTTTTTTATTTGGTTGAAAATATTACGTATCAAGAGGTTAGCTGTCCTTCGTTCTTTGAGTAATATTCACATCTGGGAATATATTGACAACCGTAACCCTCAAACACTTGTGATTCTAAAGCTTGCCACTAATATAGTCCTGTTTTTATAACCAAATTTCATAATTCTCATATTTTTTTTATATCCTAAAGGTGCCTATAATGTATTACAAACAACAATCTTATTTTACAAGCTGAAGCCGCAAAGCCAGAGCTGCAAATGCTGCAACACTGGTGCCCACACGTTTGCCTGACATGTGGCAGAACATTTCCTGCCCGTATAGGCCTTACCAGCCACCTGCGGACACATCATGGACAGCCCACAACCTATTACATGTCAAGGTCCTTTTCGAACACAATGAACATCATCACAAGCTAAATTTAAAAAAAACAAGATAAAGTGTTTTATCTTAATTTTATGTTATTTTATGTTATAAAATTATGTTATGTTATAATTTTATGTTATAAAATTATGTTATGTTATAATTTTATGTTATAAAATTATGTTATATATTATATTATATATATATATATATATATATATATATATATATATATATATATTATATATATGTTATATATTATATATATTATGTTATATGTTATATATGTTATGCTCTTTTAAATGTGCAGTTTGGTTCCGGCAATTATCCTTCAAAGCTTATGTGAAAAAACATACTTTTAGCACATCTTTTACAGACAATACCATAGTTGGAGTGCTTCTCCTGAG